TTTACTTTTTCCCTCTGCCAATCGAACTCCTACCAAGTCATTTTTAAATCTCAGTTTTTAATCACAAAATTAATATGTGGTCCTAGCTTATTCAAACAATACGGAAGAGGTTGAATTAAAAACTGGAACTCACCATCCCTGCCCCCTTTCACCCAATCTCACATGGAAAGGTTAACTATTGTTTACAATTGGATGTGCAGCCCCCTAGACCTTTTTCCTGTATGGTTTCCGTGTATAAAATACACATTATATGTATTTTCCTGCAACTTGCTATCAAACACTTGGCAGTGCATTTACTGGGGTCAACTTTCTATGTTGGCCCCATCTGAGTGACCTCATTCATTTCAGCAACCAAGTCTTAATGCTTCATCATATCTCATCAGTTCCAGCTCAAGTGTTTTTTCCTCTGTGTCTCCCTTCTCTTCCTGCACTTTTTCATGCAGAGATCATCTTGCTCGTATGTTGTCACACCGTGCTATGGAAGTGTTCATCTCTCCCTCTCATGTCTTTCCTGCCTTATCTCCTCAACTCGAATGTGACCCTGGAAGGGCAGGCATCCCTGTACGACATAAAGTGCCCCCTCAGCAAAATCCCTTAACGTAACGCACATTCATATGGACTGGATGAGTACACAGAGTTATGGCTTGACAGGTCAAAATATCCTGCAGGATGACATCATTTTTTTGAGATCTGCACAAATCACCTAAGTATTAAGTAGTCATTTCTGGTGGCATGGGAGACTTTTTTGTTCTATTCTTGTTATATGTCTGTGTTTTCTGATTTTCATACACTGTTCTATTCCATTCAGGTGAAGGAAAGAAGCGCATTTTATTTTTAAATATGTGACTTTATTGGTCTAAGATGACAGGAGAGCACAGTGTGACAGCGGAGACTCTGAGGTTAAATTGCTGCGATTTGAATCCCAGCCCTTCTATGTTACCATGGGCATTTCACTTAAAATTTCTGGTCTTTGTTTTCCCCGTATGTAAAATGAAGACAGCGATACATACGCCTCAGGGTAGTGAGTGCTAAGTATTGAACTCATCGAGGTTTTACTCAATAAATACTAACCATCACTATCAACGGCAAGGCCAGGGCTAGACCCAAGGCTTCTATTTTCCAGCCCAGTGTCATCCTCCCCACATGCCATGAATCCTCAGAGGAAAGCCCAGAAGCTGATTTTTCCTCCCGGCTGGAGTGCCGGGGTGCTGATCAGGAGCACCCAGTAATACAATGAGGACCTGCCTGATGAGAGAGGGATCCTCCTGAGTCTCTAGAAGCACAGCAGCAGCTGGGTCTTGGTGGGTCACACCAAGTAACGTTGACCACATTCATTTTTCCCTTTGAAACTGTGTAGTGATTACAGATCAAGCCCGGTCTTGGAGTCAGGGCCACCTTCCCAGGACTACTACAGGGTTACTCTTTGAAGCTTCCAACCATGTTTTCTAGTCCTGATTTAGAAGGCAAACCAATTTCTTTTTTTTTTTTTTTTGAATGAAAGATTCCTTGAATTCTACAGCACTTCACAATTTTCAAAAGTTTCACACACATGATTTCATATAATCCCATAATAACACTAACATACTGATTTGAAAAGATACGTGCACCCCAATGTTCATAGCACTATTTACAATAGCCAAGGTATGCAAGCAACTTAAGTGTCCATCAACAGGTGAATGGATAAAGAACCCGTGGTATATACTAACAATGGAATACTACTCAGCCATAAAAAAGAATGAACTTTTACCAACATGGATGAACTTGGAGGGCATTAAGCTCAGAATTAAGTCAGACAGCGATAGACAAACACAGTCTGATATCACATGTGTGGAATCTAAAAAATACAATAAACTAGTGAATAAAGCAAAAAAAGAAGTAGACTCACAGATACAGAGAACAAACTAGTGGTTACCAGTGAGGAGAGGGAAGGGAAAAGGGCAATATAGGGGTAGGGGGGAAAAAGGGTTAATATTGAAGGCAAACGACTTTCCTTGGAGGGACACTGAGCCCTTTAATACATTTCCTGACCTATCAGGATAAAGTGGCCCTAAACTGCCCCCTTCATGGGAGGCTGTAAGGGCTTCTGTAAGGCAGTCCAAACTCTGCTTTCTCCAAGGTGCTCAGGAAGTCAGCACCAACCTCCCACTTTCTTTGTGCCTTAGACATGTCTCTTCCCGTACCCTATGCCTGGCCTAACTGAGCAGTATCTGCTCAGATGAGATATGCTTCCCTGAACAGAACTTTCATGACCCAAAATTCTAGAAGTCATACGTTCATGAGCTGGAAAGGATCTTTAGGGATTCTGCATCACCTTTTAGGTAAGAATACAGAGTCAGAGAAATTAATCTCTTGGTTAAGAGAATGCTAATAGATAAATTCACCATAAATCTTCGAAGCTAAATGATTAGCCTTTCTGTAGGAACCATTATCAGCTGTGTGGTAAGCATCTTGGGTGAGTCTAAGTCTAGGTTTGCAGCTAGAGGAGCCAGTACTGAAGGAGCAAAGTTCAGGTTAATTGAACAGTTGATGGAGTAATTCTCTCTTTTTCACACCAAATGCCTGGGGATTCAGTTGATAGCTCAGTCGCCAGTAAACCAGGGAGAGCAAAGAGCAATCCATGTACCACAAAAATCATCATGGATTTTGCTGTTTCAAAACATGCTTAGGGGGCTTCCCTGGTGGCACAGTGGTTGAGAGTCCGCCTGCCGATGCAGGGGACACGGGTTCGCGCCCCGGTCCGGGAGGATCCCACATGCCGCGGAGCGGCTGGGCCCGTGAGCCATGGCCACTGAGCTTGCGCGTCCGGAGCCTGTGCTCCGCAGCGGGAGAGGCCACAGCAGTGAGAGGCCCACATACCGCAAAAAAAACATGCTTAGGAACAAAAGTCTAGTAACCACAGTCAGCCACAGCCATAAAGGCAGTGAGAAATTTATGGAACGCCACATTCATCAGTTGTTAATGTACTCATTCTTTTGGCCTGGTGCACATGAATGATTAGCAGTAGATTGGTTTGTCTTTGAGCTTTTTTTGGAACACCATTTCAACCAAATGCCAGGTTTGCTGCGGACATCTTTATCCTGGATACTTCCCTTTTTCCTCAACATAGCCAAGACAATCCCTGAACTCAGGGACCAAGGAGACAAGCTAGGAATATCCAGATGTCTCAGACATTCATCTACATCTGGTTTCGACCTGAATTCTACCTCGGCAAAGAGGCTTTCTCTGACCACCGCCATCTCCCTTTTCTCACTGGACTATGTCATCTCATTATATATTTTAATAGTGTACCACTTTCTCATTTGTAGCAAAACTTATATTGTAATTATTTGTGTCATGTCCATCTTCTTTGTTTATTGTCAAAGCATGGGGGCAAGAAATGGATCGACCTCATTCACATTGTTCCTGCAACTCTTATCACTGTGCCAGAAATCGAAAGTGAAGGCTATATGAGAATCCGATGGGGAGATGAATGAATGAGTGTATGTATGTATGGATGGATGGATGAACAGATGGAAAGATGGATATCTGAATGCTGCCTATATACTATCCAATTTACCCATAATTTCTTAACTTTGGTTCTTTGATCTTTAATTTTTCTCCCATTGCCCATTGCTCCTGCTGTTGTCACAGAACATGATACCAACTTCTGGCACCCAACTCTGTCCCTAGAGTACACATCACACCACTGTTTCAACATGAACTTTTTTTTTCAATCAAAACAAACATGTCAGAAGAATAATTTATCTTTTACATAGCACAGAGTGAAGTGAAGAACTGACAATTAACCAGAAGACTCAGGCTGTATAAACAGACAGAATGAGTCACCACTTCACACCAGATTTCTTTTTGTCTGTTATCTGGGTTAATTCAGTCTATAGCTGGTGTGTTTTTCCTTTACCATAGGAGTAGTTGCCGCAATACATCCTTCATCTTGTTTCTCCTTAAGAATAAGTAAGATGGAAGGAATTGACTTGTGATTCCTGGACTGAATCTAGACTTTCGGGTTTCATTTCCCTCCTAGTTTGTTTTCTAAGAGTTGCAGATCTAAAAACTCCCTGAAACATCTCACTCATTCTTAACAATGGCTATTGGACACAGAAAGCTCTTCACAGCACAGAGGTGTGCAGAAACGGGATCCCAGTGTTAATTTGGAATGGGATGAGCGTGAAGAATGGAAAGAAATACTTTGGCTGTACAATCCAGTATTCTATCTCCCCAATAAGCATACAAATGAGTTACTTATAGCACCATTTTTTTTTTTTTTATCAAAGGGCCAGCTAAGGAAATCACAAAAGCTTGAACTCCATCTTTGCACCATCCAGAAAGCATGTGGACTAGCAAAGATGCTGACCTTGCTCCCAGGGAGAGGCTTCTGACTGGAGAGAATCTGACTCATTACCTAATGAAGGGCTGTCTCTTGCAACCTACATCACAGCTCATCCTTGACCAGAGGACAACAGGATACAGCGCACCACTTCTTATCTTATTTTGGTGGCATTTCAAAGGTGAGTTTTTAGAAATGTTGGGTGTTTGGATAACAGATACTTCTAAAAAGGGCCAAAAGAAACAAAAACAGTAAAAGTGAAAAAAGCATTGTTACTTCTAGCTCAGAGTAGGGCAAAATCCTCTGATGGATCAGAGGTGCGGAAGGGCTGGCGCTGGTTCAGATTGTAGAGGTCAGCTCTCTCGGTGATCAAAATTCAAGGAAGCTTAGAGTAAATAATTTATATTGAAAGTATGTTCTTACTCTTAAATCATTCTCCAAGATCAAACTTCAAGGACTTTAACCTTGACTCCAAGAACAATTCTTCCTTCTGTCTTTTCCCAGGTACTTATTATCCTTTTTAATCCGAAAGTAATCTATGTTTACTGTTTAAAATTGGAGAAATATGGAAAAAATAAAAACAGACGATTAAATTTATCTATAACCCTCCCCCCACTTCCAGAGATATCCAGTAATAACATTTCCATGGATAATTTCTTTCCAGTCTTTCTATATAGATAGGTATTTTTTATTTTATAAAAAATAAAATAGAACATATTACACATAGTATTTTAGCCCATTTTTTCTTAACCTGCTTTTAATGCCATAAACAGTTGCCTTTACAGTATTTTATCTGGTATGTTCACATGTATTCCTAAAGAGTCTAGAAATTTAGCATAAGATTGAGCCTTCATTTCATACTGACTCTTCTAGCAATGAAAAGAATCATAAGATCTGGATTCAATTCCTAGTTTAACTAGTTGTGTGTTTGGAGGAAAGGTCTCTGGGCATTGGTTTTCTCATCCATGAACTAAAGATCATATACTTAATTTCTAGACAGTTTAAGAGGAAGACTTCTGATACATAAATCATACAACATACAGTCTAACTGCTCCTCGTTGCTTACTATGGACACTCCATATGAGAGGGATTCCCCCTTTCCCTTCATTCTTCGATTTGCTTTCCCTTTATTTTTCCTTTTCCTTTCCCCTGAAACAATGAAATGTGATGCCTTTGATCTGCTCATCAGAAGATGGGTGGTTGGCCTCTTCCCCACTTCTGCAAACTCAGCACCAGTCTCCTGCTGTACAAGGTCTGCTTTGAGCCCCAAACACAAGGCAGGTACTTCTATATGTGTTCCCACCACCGGGCTCATCTGAGCTCCGAGCCCCTGGTGTAGAAACTGACTCCCGGAACTTGAAATAAGTCTCTGCTTTCTCGAAGGCTCCAACCAGAGAGAGTCTATGAGAAAATGTAAAAGGCACATTCATTTTCTTTGGACCAGAAACAGAAACATAAATCTCTTCCTCTTTTAAAGGGCCCGGTAAAGGTTTTGTGTTCCACATCAAAGGGAAGCTAGGAAGAGACAATGTTTTTCCACTGTAGCCGATGAAAATGGATGGGAGACTCGATTCACCCGTGATTGGGAATCTGAAGGAATCCCTGAGGTCTGACACAGTAGTTCACAGAAAGGTGTGCCAGGTTTCCTGAATTCCACATACGATCCTGCACAACTGAATTCTTAACCTATTTCTCATGCCCATTGCCTGAAAGAAAGGACAACCCGCTTCCCTTCAGGTCTAACCAAGCTGCTCATGTAACTGGCCCAAGACCAACAAAGATCAAGAGATTGAATACAGATCAGAATTTTATCTCTGCGTAATTCCGGGGTCTGTTAATTTGGGTATCTCAAGAAGAGAGAGCATCTCACCAGAGAGCCTTCTGTAGCATATCTATAGAGAAGATATGAAGAAGTGTCTGATGTTTAATTTCATCATGAATGCCATTGACCCCAGAGGCTTGTGACTCTGGTGTGAAACAGGAGCAGAGTGAGGAGAAGCCCTGGCGCATTGCATTATCTCGAGGCGCTGATATTCCCACGTGTCAGCAAGCAGGATTCCAAAGAGTGGCGGCATCAGAACACTGAGCACCTTCTGACACATTTCCTTCTTGATTATTTCTCTCCCATCCTTGTTACTAAACGTAGCAGTAATCTTCACAGAACTAGGCATCTCTCCGTGCTGTTGCCTACGGTCTTTTCTCATTGAGATGCTGAAAAATAAAATGAGATAATAGAGACAGAAAATGCTTTGAAAGTGAAATGCTTTGCATATGAAAGGGACTGGAGAGTTTGTTTATGATAGCTCTGATGAATCCTGCCTTGTCTCCCTACAGCAGACGTTATAATATTTCATTGTTGGAATTGAAATGGCCACATAATAGACAAGTGTCACAGAACTTGGATCAGTAGATAAACATTACAGGGAAGCATATTTCAGATCAAAATGATGAAGTGTTTTTGAGCATTTAGAGAGCTTTTGAACATGTGGAACCATTCAAAAAAGAAATGAGAGCCTGGAAAAGCACTGGATCCGTAGGACCAGCCAGCAGGGGTGCTGTAGAGAAGTTTCTTCCACTGGACCAGATGATAGCTAAGGTTCCATCCAGCTCTATGTGATTCCACTATTACAATGATCTCTACTGCTATTTTTAAATATGTAAAGGGCTGTAATGTAGAAGAGGAAGTAGTTCGTTTCAAATGCATCAAACTAGGCCTAGTTGATAGAAGTTACAGGAAGGCGAGCATTGGCACAGCAGAGGAACAGCATTCCGATATTTGGAAATGTTATACAATTAATTGTTTCAAACTCAAGTAGATGTAACGACGGGAAAGTAGTCTGACCAAAGCTGGTGGCTTTGTGTTAGATCACAAACTCCTGGTGTTTAATCCAGTTCCGGGTTCTCTGTCTCACACGCCTCCCCCAATCCAAGGCCACACATACTTGGCAAGTATATATTTTAAAAATCAGGGAGTTCCCAGGCAGTCCAGTGGTTAGGACTCCATGCTTTCACTACCAAGAGCCCGGGCTCAGTCCCTGGTAGGGGAACAAAGATCCCGTAAGCTGTGTGGTACTGCCAAAAAATAGATAAAATAAAGATAAAAATCAGAAGACAGCCACGTATAGTGACTGTTTGCTGAGAGTCCTCCTCTGGTCCTGCTACCTTATAACTCCTTTCTTCTTAGGCTTTCTTTTTCAGGGAAAAAGTAAATGAATAGGCTTATGCTACTCTGAGGCCTACAGAAACTAGACTGCATTGAATAAAATCTCTTGATGGGAATGCTCTATTTGTTTCTGGGTATTACACATGGTCACTGCCATTTGGAATACTCTCCTTACCTTTCCCTTAGCAAAATCTTATTCAATCTTCATCTCCTCTCCTCTCTGAATCTCCCCTGCCAGACTTTACCCTCTTACCAGTAGCATCACTACAAATCAGGTATCACCAGTAGCATTACTATGGGATCAGGTATTCACATTCCCAATTACCTTGTCCATAAATCCAATAATCATTTGCTGTCTTACATATTAGTTATTTGTTTACACTCAAGGTAAAGACTATGACTTATTTATTTTTGTATCTCCAGCATCTCACTTGGTGCCTGGTCCTTAGGAACTTCTCAGTATAGGTTTATTTGGTTGAAAATATGCATACATTTTCATTTATTTTAGAGCGTAGAAAGTTAGTTGCAAATCCCGTGACAGTCTCCAATGCAACAAAACATGGGTATATTAAAATTTTAGATATATTTATGAATCCCCCCCCCAAATGCCTTTTTGGGCTACTATGGAAAGGGGTCAGAGAGCAAGGAAGCTCTTACCTCAGGGCCTTTGCACTTGCTCTTCCTGCTGCAGTTCCATGAAGTTCCCTCCCTTGCTTCACACATGTCACATGAAGATGTTCACTCTTCAGTGAGGTCTAGCCTGACTATCCTATAAAATAAAACCATCCATCTCCATCCTCAGTATTCCCTATCCACCTTATTTTGCCTTAATTTTTTCCATAGTACTTTCCATCTGACATACTATGTATCCACTTGTTCATTTGTTTATTGTTTACCTCCTCTCTCATCAAAAGGAAAGATACTTTGCAGGTTTTGTTCATTGCTGTATCCCCTAGAAGAATGCCAGGCACATACCAAAGGCTCAACAAACATTTACTAAACAAGTGACTGACCAATGAGTGAATGAATAAATGAATGCTGAAATTTAAAAAATAGGATTTCCCAATAAAAATGTCAATAACATGTCTGAAAAAAAGTCAAAGTCTCTTGGAACAAAGAACAAAAAAATGTAAAGAGACATGAAATATCAAATAATAAAGTTAAGAGACATAGATATCAATCCAGGATGTGCAACATTCACCTCATAAATTTTCCCAAAATAGAGGAGAGAAAATAAAAGGGAGAAACTATTAGAAGAAATTTATAAGAACTTAAGAAAGTCACCAATCTTAAAATCAAAGTTTCATCCAAGGATAAGAGAAGATACAAAAAGCTTTTAGAAAGATGAAGGCAAGTCATCTACAAAAGAATGGGAGTAAGATTGGCATCAGTCTTCAAATTAATAGCACTGGATGCTAAAAAGTATTAGTCATATCTTAAAATTTTTGAAGAAAAATTATTTTGAACCAGAAATTCTATACCTAACCTATCAATCAAGTATAATAATAAAATAAAAACAGTTTCAGACATACAAAGAATGTGAAAGTTTACTGCCCATGAAGCCTTTCTGAAGAAATAGGATGTAGAGTCACCCTTCAGTATCTGCAGGGGATTGGTTCCAGGATCCCCCATGGAGACCAAAATCTTCTGATGCTCAAGTCCTTTATCTAAAATGGCACAGTATTTGCATATAAATTATGCACATCCTCGCATATACTTTAAATCATCTCTAGATTGCTTACAATACCTAATACAATGTAAATGCTATGCATATAGTCGTAAACACAATGTAAATGCTATGTAAATATTTGCTGGCATGTGGCAAATTCAAGTTTTGCTTTTTGGAACTTTCTGGAATTTTTTTCCCAAATATTTTGGATCTGAGCTTGGTTGAAATTCAGGGTGAAGAACCTGTGAATATGGAGGACTGACTCTACTTTAGCAAAATAGAAACTGAAACAAAAAAAAAAGAGAAGAAAATGAGATCCAAGAAACAGTGGACCTTACCCAGGAGAATGGTATACAGTAGGTATAAAAAGCAATCATAGAACAAGAGAATGTCTTTAAAAGAAGGTAGATTCCCTTGTAACATAATTATTAAAAGTTTGGATGAAAGGTGAAAACATAAACTGCTTTAACTAATAAGAAAAAAAAAGCAATCAGCAACACCAGGAAAAACAAAAAGCTATATAAGAAAGTCATTATGAAAAATAGAATGTGATCTCATTTTAACGAATTCATGGAACATAAGAAAGAGAATTCATTTGATACTAAAACTTGGAATATTTTTCAAGTTTTCAATATTTTTCATTGGCACACATGTTTAGTGACATAGAATTATACCTCATCCTATAAAGTCTAATTACACAACTTGGTCCTGTGGTGAACCACCTTAATATGAATACATAGTCATCTGAATAGAAATGGGTTTTCAATTTTTAGAATCAATCTACAGACCAAGCATGAATGACTTAATTATGATAAAAATTGAATGCAAATATTATAACTTTGGTGATATTAGGAGGTAGAGAGTATGTGAAAAGGTGGAGAGAAACATAGGCATGCTAATTTCTTCATTTCATATGACATGAGGTCAGAGTTGTTGTCCCAAGATGATGAATCAAGAAATTAAAAATTGAGGTGTATTATTCAAAGTTATAATGATAACTAAAAGACAAGTAAGAACTAAAATAATTATTTAAACATTGGGAAATTGATGGGGTTGGGTGTAGTGTAAGTGAGCTACATGTTTTATGTTTTATATTGATGGTCAACTGGTATGGTTTAAAGTGATTAAATCAAGAAATAGCAGAAATGTATTACATATAATATGGAATTAGCTACGAAAAAAATAAAAATATGAGTAGTTGTCACTTCTTGGGAGTGTGACTAGCTGTGGGATGAGAATGTGGACTTTCACATTTTATTTCATAATATTTTGTCTAGTTGGACTTCTCATTGTCACATGAATATATTATTTTTATACTTAAAAAGAAAAACAACTCTACCTTTGAAAAGAGAAGACCATTTGTACTGGAAGATGCTGGCCTGTAACCATTTCCCCTATGACATTTGGTATGTCAGGATGGGAAAAATCTGACCAAGAAAATTCTAAAAATGAAAATGTGCCTTTATTTTTCTCTGATTTGGAGTTCAAGGAAGCTATGAGCACCTTTGCAAAGACTGTAGAATTTGGAATCAAAAGAAAAAGTAATCCTAGAAAAATCTTTTAACAAATTTCTATGCCCCCATGCTCCCACCCTTCAATAGGGTCTTTGCCCATAGCATTTTACTCCTTTATTCAGGGTCCCAAGGGGATGAGACTCGCAAATCCTAAGCTATAGGAAGCACTGCCAGTGTTTCCTACAGCTTATATGAGCCAGGAATTGTGGAGAAGAGCAGAGTAGCTCTTCTGAATTTCAGGCATGCAAATGAATGTGCCCATGTTTAAATGACTCGGTAAGATTTCTAAGTCAACAGCTCCAAAGCCCCCTGTGGCAGAATCAAACTTCTGTGTGAAGGTCTTCTGAGGAAGCTACTGACTTACTGAACACCCTGCAGCCAGCCACCCACACAACTCAGAGCACACCTGGAAACATGTTGTTTGGGGGGGGGTTAGATGGGGAGCTCCCCACACAGGGACCTGCAGCCAGCTTCAGCCTCCTTTCTCAAAAACCTGGATTCTAATCATTTGTCAGCAGACTCTGGGTAACAGCCATTCTACTGCCCTGGGCTCTGAGAAGACAGTAAAGGTGCCCTGCAGAACTCCTCGCCCTTCTCCTCTAAACAAAGGGCTCTCCAGTTCCCCTCCTGAGAGCGATGGCGTTTCCACGGGTGCACTGGGCCAGGGATGGGGGTGGACAGGAAATATACAGAAAATAGAAAACAAAAATGATTTGTGCAAATCCTCATCTGGGAAGCCTGCATTCCTGGTTGCCTGCATTTATAATATTAAGGGGAAAATTACAAATAAGGCAGTCAATGAGTTAGTATGAATCAGATCTTTGTTCCTTGGCAAACCCCCTCCTGGAAAGCTGAGTGCAGGCTTCCCATCGACTTGCAGCATCAATTTAATAGGAATGGCTTTAAAATGCGCCCGACGCCCATTCTCTTCCCAGGAGGCCAGAAAGAGTAAGAAAAGGTGACCCCACAGCTGGATCCCCTGTGGTCTGGCTTATGAAAGGGGCAACCTCTCTGCAGTGTCTATGCACTCCCCCCAAACTGGGAAGGAGATGAGAAAATGGTCCCCTGGAGGGAGCTGGGAACAGAGAAAGGGAGCCAACAGGAGCAATCGTTCTCCTGGCTCCATCGTATACCACCCACATCTGTGGGCTGGATACTCTCTCTGAGGTCAAACCTGCCCTCCCCAGTTACCCTTCAGCCAAATGAAGCAAAAAGAGGCAGCCAGACATCCTACAGTCCAGGCAAGAAAAAGAGACAAGACCGTGGGTTTGAAAGAGAGGGAGGCCAATCATTTCATCCGTGTGTCAATTCCTGTCCAGGTTCAAAGTGCTCACAATTTTAATTCATTTGTCTTCCAGGTAAATTTTGGGGGCAAGCCCATATTTTCTCCATTTAATAAATAATGACATCAAAGCTCAGATTTGATTCAAGTCATAGTCGATTTGCACAGATAGGACTGTACTCTGTTCCTTGGCCATCTTGTTTTCTGGTCTTTGCCCCAAGCCACTTTACCAGTAGATATCATTATGTGACCAGAAGACAAGTGCTTGACAACAGAAATTCTAGCCACTTGGCTGGAAGTTAAGGTCTGGGGGAACATTTGCTAGAGGGGAGACTTGAGCCCTGTCTTCCCCACACAGAGCTGGGGCACTAGATCTCATCACAATGACTACTTCCTTTTTTACAAACACTCAATGACGCCTCAACACCATTCAGATCTTCTACTTCACTGAAGCCCTGCCACCAAAAAAATGGAGGTGTTGGACTACGTGTTTTCCCTGCAGACCTAAAATATAACTCCAAGGGGTTTATTTTTATATTATTATTGTGTATTTTTTTGTTACTTATCCCCTCTGGTCGTGAGTTGGCTACACATCCTAGAACAGGTGGGTTTGAATACCTCCCATTCTAATTTTAATTTCCACATGAACAGATTAAACCTGGATGCCTTGATACCTCATTTTCCTGTGCTGATGGAAAGTAAAAGTCAACCTTTCTCACACTGGACAGCTCGCTTTTTGATGCTCCTGCCATTACTGACATGGCAGCTGTCAAAGCAGTTTGCCATGGAAAGACCCGTTAGCTCATCTGATCCCATCTCTCTGCCAGGACAGGATATAGGCCCTAAAAATGCTTCCTGGTCTAATGGCTGCTTAGGGGGTTATTTATCCGAGGTTACAGCAAGCACGGCTTCAAAAAACAGGAAATAGAGTCTCACCTAGGTGAATTATGATACCCGTTATAACAATGCAGTGGAGGCTTTCTTCAAGCCAAGCTTGCACTCCCATGCAAGGCTCTTGGAACCTCATCTGCTATCAGGGAGCTGAAGTTGCAGCTCTGACATCCCTCATAGGACCTTAGGAGTATTGCATATTCCTACTCACATCACATCAGATGCATGCCTGATCAGAAATAAAGAAAATTATATCAGCTCATGAAGTTCCTAAATTGGTCCTAACTCACAGAGCTCCTTATGGACAAGTAAATTGTCTCATTTGCCTTTGATTGTGACCAACACCTAAAACACTCAACAAAGTTTTAATTAATTAAGACTGGGTGAAGAGGAGCTCAAGTTTATCAGAGAGG